GCACGTTCTGTCCTAACCTAACCTATTTTAATAAATTACCATAATTATTACCAACCAAATTATTAGAATAGGTTAGGTTAGGTTAGAACGTGCGTCCCCACTGTTTCCTTTCTTCTGTTTGCTGGAATCAGAGACGAGCCGCCATTTACTTACCATAGGTAACATTAACTGCACAATTATTTCATGCGATCACCAGAAAACGTATGACAACTTTATTATTTTTCGTCTCCAGTCCGAAAGTAGGGTATCGTTGAAGTCGTCTCGGTCTCCTCAGTTCAGATAGATACTCAAAGTCCCGAAATTCCATAGGTGGTTATCTATATGATAATTTTCCTAATTGTATTAATATTTTAAATCGTTTGATTTTTTGTATGTGTTTTAATTGGTTGATGATTGATTCTATCAACTAATTTGTTGATTGTTTGATTGTATTGAGTTAATTCTTTAGATATCGTAAATTAGATAAAGAACATTATGTTAATTTAAGCGTACAGAAACGTTGCTGCGAGCTTTAGCGGTAACATCTTAACAAATATCAAAACAGTTTATAGCAATATTGAAACTTTGTAAAATCATGATAAATTCTTCTATATACTGAATTACTCTAAAGGTTCTTACAACAATTTACAATTGGTAGAAACTTAATATTAGGCCGTTTTCAGACAGACCACTGAATGGTGCCACTCAGTAGCGCAACCAAGTGGTTCGTCTAAAATCAACATGAAAATAGGGCAATTGCTTATGTTGAAATTATTATATAATAATTATATTGTAAAATTATACATATTAGTAGCCGTTACGCTTGTACAAGTAAAGTCTTCAGGCAACGAAATGGTCAATCTAAATTGTTCTCCGAGTGGTAGGCAGACTTTTCTTTGTGAAAAGCACCATTACAGCATTATTATTGACAATAATATGCACTACAAACAATTTTATAGTGCGGAATTTGATACAGCATTACTATATTGTTAGTGTAAAATTAAAACAACTACACGTAAGATAATTCACAATTTTTTTAAACAAATTTCAGTGCTTTTCTTCTTTCGTATTGTAACCAGGGCAGTGTGAAATCTGCAATGGATATTTTCGTCTTATTGAGAAAAAGAGTCATCAGGTGAGAGAATTTTATATTTATTCCAAAATTTGATATTAATTTACATATCATATTGTTATATATATATATATTTATAATTCGTTCAGATATAGTGTGTGAACCTAGGAGGTTAGAACGGTAAGCTTCTCCCCACTTATCGGCTTCGTTGTAAAAGATGGCGTTGTTAAATGAGTGGGAGGGTTAGTGGAGTCATGACGAGGTGTCGATCGTACTGAAAGATGAGACAATGAAATTGGGAATAACATATTTAATATAAAACAAATGATACAATTACAGGAAATATATTCTGTTGTATATCGACGGACCAGAAAATGTTGTATACAAATTTGAAAAGAACACAGTACACTTCCTGTCTAACAATAACAACACAATTACACTTTAATGTCTCTAATAAGTGAGTGACTCTGGCACTTCACAATCAAGCAACACTTCGGTACCCGACAATTATTGGTATTACACAATACTGGTTCTTGACCAGTCACACAGTTACCCACTCTGGTTAGCTCCCTGGTCAGTACTGCGGTCAGCACTCCTCTCAGTACTGCCTCCATACACACTCTGACTCTACACACACAAAGGGCAGGGCACAATTTTTTCTGTCCATCACCACTTGCTGACATCCACACACCTGACACATGTCTGACACATGTTACAACTGAACTTTACATATTCTAAATTTAAGCAAGATGAAAGTAATAAGGGTAATAATATTTTCGCGTCGCGACAATAATAGATGGCCGATGTCCGTTTTTTCCATCGGTGGGACCGCCGAAGGTCCTCAATCCGATAACTTTCTAAGTTTATCCTAAACCGAAACAGAAGAGAAATTATTTCTAAGTCTAACTAAACCGAGCGAGACAAATATTTTCTAAGTCTCTACCCCAACCGAGAGAGAGGGAAGCAAAATATTCTAAGTCTTTAACTCATTTGGAGCAGCGATTAGAAGCTGCGAAGTTTCCAAAGGCAGAGAAGGCTTGAAAAGTCCAATCGTTGGCTTCTTCCCGACGATCGCCCAGAGGGGCAGGAGCGATTTCTTTTTATACCCGATTAGCATGGGAAATATCTAGGATTTTGCTGACGTAATTGTCTTTGCAGCGTGTGTTTACTTGAATTTGACAGTTCTCCAGATTTATTAACGTCTCCCGCGTCATGGGTGACGAAGTTACATAGACATCTCTTGACCAATTAACATTAAATTCGTCATCACCTGAAGTAACGAAGACGGTGAGAAATCATATCACGTCACCGATGATAACCATCCTCGGCAACGCGACACAGTCCCTCCCCGCATGGTCTACCCTTGCAGGTGACCCTACTGTGCAGAGGGTGAACGAAACTCTCTACATAGTAACACATGTCGGTTGTTGTTATTTGGTTACACCGCAGATCCCAGGGGATCTTCCGCAATTGACTACGACGACCTCGTCAGTCTAGAAGGTCATCTTTTTAAGTGACGCAGTACCAGGCCTGGTGTCACAAGGTCAATTACCCTGGCAAAGGGGTGATGACGGGAGAAATAAGGGAAATAATGATGAAAGAAAAATTGTATACGACTTTTATTACTGAAAATTCTTATAAGAGCGTCGGATTTCTCACAAACTGCAAAGGAAGGTGCAAAGTTTGAAGAAAAATTGTCTTAATTATAAACTTTACTCAGAATCGAAACGAAAAACGGCAATACGTTGGCTCACCGATTTCGATAAACTTTTTAAGTTTAAACTGCATTCCCAAAGACTGACATGTACCAAACAGAAAGGCGCAGTACACAAAATTAAACGAGAAAATTATAGGTGCAAATTGCACAATGTCTTAAAATTTTCATAATTCTTTCTATTTGATGAATGTTTGATGGTTTAGCGCAGATATAACAATTTCTTAACTTTAATGATGGTGACTTAAATACTGTTAATACGGTGAGGAGCCGGAATTAATGCATGCGCCTGAACCCGTTTGCTGGCGACGGTTTGACGAAAACAGCTCACAACGTCTGTGGATGGCGTTTTTCTTTCGGGGCGCGTTTTCCGGGTAACAAGATCGGCTTCTCAGGTCGTGTGGGAAAGTAAGCGGGATCGTCGATAAAGTATGGGCGATTCCCGAATAACAGACACTATTAAAAAACTTAATATGGATAAAATTGTAATGAAGAACTAAAATCTAAACAAAAGGTTACAGGAGTACAGGTATAATATTGAGTAATGACTCGCGTATGAAGGATAATAAGCTTATTCTATCTATCAATATATACATATACCGTACAGCATCTCTATATAATTTTGCGAAGACATATTTCAGAGTAAAAAGACATGTAAAATTTTTAAATAAATTCTTAATTTTTTCAAACCTTATCGACTCTTTATAAAACTTTTATTGATTTTTAGTGGTTAACACCGACCTTGTTGAAAAGTTTTTATTTTCAGTTATGTGGCTTTCGTGTACAATATTATTCACAATTTTTTACTTGCTGCATCAGTTGTTGACCAACAGTTTTGCTTATATAACATTGTTTGAAGAATTACATTATCTCTAGCAATATATGGAATAAATATAACTCTGTTTGATCGGCAACACATCTCGTGAACGATGGACATATGCCTACAGCAATGAGTTTATACGAGCTCATTTTCATATGTTAGAAACATAAACTAAACATGAAATATTCCACGTGGCCAGCGTAACTAGAGTATACCATGTCATGACACATTAACTAGCGATCCACCAGCGTTGTGTTGTTATCCTCTTGGACATTAGTCGGCCTCGAGCAATATGTTCTAATTATGATAGTTATAACCTTATAAATTTAAATGAGCTCAATTATGTGTTCAGAAACAACTACCTATAAACTGGAATCTTATTAATATAATGGGTTTTGATGAAGATTGTTTAATTAATTTACTCAGTATACAATTTTCTATTGCAGATTAACAGTGCCAGTATTTTGTCTTGTAGCAGCAACGATTATTTTACCACTTCTAGGAGATGGCCCTCATTGGAATGACCTGCTAAACGATGTTGATGAAATTGTAGAGAATTGGCCTAAATATGCTTTTCATTACACTAATTTCATAGAACACACTACTGGAAGTTCCATTGTAAAAATAATATATATCTTATATAGTATTTTAAAATATACAGTAGAGCGTCGTTTATCCGAATCAATTGGGGACTGTTCGGATAACTTATTTTTCGGTTAACCGATTATGTACGAAAAAATATATTAACCTATCCCGTGTTGAAATTTTTCTCCGTTGCGTGTCGCTTCGCGCTAAATTTTCGTCGATGTTAAGCCTAACGTACACTTTTTAAAATAATAATCGTGGTAAATAATAATAATGTATCGTTAAAAATTATTTATTTATTTTGTACAAACAAAATAAATATATTGAAATATATAAAAACAAAAAAAGTTAGGCTATACTTTAGAAGTTCATCTAGTATCAAAAATGTTCGATTCAGCAACACACACAATCTCAGAAAAACAGTACACAAAAGTGCCAGTGCTGCCAGCTAAAATACACCCAACAAAAAAGTACTGTATTGGAGTAGTCCAAGATATAGACAAAGATTGCAGCGCCACAGCACAAGCGAAAACTTAAATATGCCGACTGGAATTCTTTCGGTTAACTGACGTTTCGGATAACCGGCTTTCGGATAAACGACGCTCTACTGTATAATATATTAATTAAATGTTATTAACATTTACAGATACTTAATCATTTATGGTTTATAAGCGCTTTGATTCAGCAAATTCTTGTGGCTATACCTTTACTCTATATAAACAACAGGTAAGTTTTCTGTTTTTTTATTTTTAATCATTATTCTGAAAACCATTTGAAAACTATTGGGCCTTTTAATAATGTTCATTTTGTGTTTGGCCTTTGGTTTCAAAATATCAATACAATATAGTAGTATAAAAATAAGAGTTCTTCCCCAAAATTTACAAAGATGAAAATTTGGATAAATCTTTTAAAATTCAGTGAAAAAAGTTAAGAAATTTTAAACTCTAAAAACTGGCGTTTACTCATTTTGTCCTAAAAATAAATACAGTTAAATCCCCGACATGTTTAAAAGTAAATATAAAAAAACTAATTATGAGCTTTATTTAGCCCTCTCATGCCTCTGTACACAAATTTAAAATCTATTCGATTGTTTAGTGCATTAATATCCTTTTCAGTTAGATCTGGTAAAAAAACCACGATTGCTATACTGGATATTCATAATCAATATAATTTTAATAACTGTGATTTATTACAAAAAGTCAAACAAACTCAATAATATGAGCTTTATACATCTCTCATACCCCTGTATACAAATGTAAAATTACTCATCTCATCTAAATCTACAATCTCTCATACCCCTGTATACAAATGTAAAATTACTCATCTCATCTACATCTTCATTCTCTAATTTTTTATTGAATTCAATCAATTCTCTATCCCTAAGAACTACTAAATTTTTATCATCAAAGCGAGTGGATATTCGTAATCAATTTCCAACTCGTTTAATTTCTTCATTGGACTATTTTGAAGTTTACCAATATTGTTTAGTTTTTTTTTTCAATATCTCCATTTATATATAGGATTATTTATTATAAATTCTTGACAACACATTTCTTTACTCCTTTTGATTTCTTTGTAACCTGATCATCTACTTTTAAGGGATACATTTTTGCTCTTAAACCAACAAAATCTCTCATTATTTTTCCATTATTTTCATCCTTCATTTTACCTAACACCTTCTTATTAACTCTTAGTATATCATATTGATTATTCTCTGGATAATCAGATGTATCAAAGTAGCCTTTCATTCCCTTCATATCTTGATAGAAATCATCAGTTTTTAAATTATAAATATAAGAATCAGTGTCTTGATATAACAATTTTATGTTATCTCTATATTTAGGTTTCATCACATTATAATGAAAATCATACATCAAATGCTTCGAAAGATCTAATATACTCATTCCCACATAGAAGGTTTATTAAAGACTATTTTTGTCTTATACATGTGAATAGCACATAGGTTTTCAGTAAATATGGTTCGATGTTTAAAGTTAGGCGTAGCGATTAATTTTTCTACTTTTTTTACGTCACAACATAATCTTATGCCAATACGATTTCTTGTATTTTCCATTGTCTTTCCAAACACAGAGTTGTGCATTAGTTTAAAAAAGTCCTTTTCGAAATCATTAGTTGCTTTAGTTCTTATTTCTGTATTCAGATCTATGTATTTCTTTAACCAATCAGATTGCTTGAATTCTAATACTCTATGTATCTTTTTGAGTTTCATCCCCATTTTTAAATATTGTTTAAGATTTCTATAATGAATCACATACTTCTTTTTATCATATAAAGTGGTTAATAATTTAGATTGTTTTGATCTGTCTGGTATTCTGTTCTCTGGAGCTAAAGGTAGATCAGAATGATAATCATGTAATTTTTTGTGATATTCCAGATCAACTTCTATTATATACCCTTTTTCACTGTCATCAGGAATTTTCATCAAATTTTATTCTTTTTCTTAAAGAGAAATATCTTCTATTCTATAGAATTGATCATTTAAATAAAATAAACTCCTATGAAAAGAATACCATTCAAATCCTCCATAAGGTAAATATTGACTCATAGCCCATGCATAAAAGTTATTTGCATCTAGATACATCAAATAATTAGATTCTTTGTTTTTATCATAATCTTTCATATACTTGTTATTTGCCTTTCCATATCTGTTTGAACATTGGGAGATTGCACCTCTTATTCCTTTTTCTATCATCAAAATCATATCACAATCACTTATCAACTTTAAACTGTATATCAGTCATCTTTAACATTGCATCCCATGATAATCCAGGTGCTGTGAAATACCATGCTGGATCTAATTTATAAGTTTTCATGCATACATCTCTAAACTTCTCAAAGATCTCTGCTAGTATCAAAACATCTGTTTTCACATATATATCTGAATATTTACCCATATTTCTAATCTTAAATTCTTCCCAAACGTTTTGAGCATGTTCATAATCTTCATCCGTTATACCACATTCATTTAATATACTATAGAACTCTTGTTTTGGAGAAAGTTTATCCATTTCACATTTCTCCCACGAATCCATGTAGTCATAAAGTTAAACACCTTTTCTTATAACTAAACGTAATAGGTGATTAGGAAAAAAACTTAAATTACTGCAGAGTTTATCAAAACTACTGGCCATAAATTTAAATAAATCTATAAACCTAAGTTTCATTTTTCCAATTTTCTTACTAAATGATATATATTTCTCCTCATTGTTCGGTATCAAACTAGTTGGTTCTGTATCATATCCAAGTTCCTTAACAAATAAATGAGCATCATATCCAGTTAGATTATGAATGAATACTGGTATAAAGTTAGGGTTTTTATATTTTAAATTACACAGATTATGAGCTGGTCCTCTGTACTTCCCAGTCAAATGATCATGATCTTTATCTTTATCTTCATATATCTTCCCACGACATATATGAGGTATTAGTATTTTCAAAATGTTTTTCTTCTTCTACAGTCATATTTATTAGTTTAATATCTTTATATATTTGTTCAATTTCTTCAACTTCTTTTTTCAACATCTCTACAAATTTTTTTACTGCATGAGACCCTCTGTATACAACTGTTTCCTTATATTCTTCATGTACCTACTTTATGTAATAAGAAAAACTCATTGGTTCATGATGTTCATATTTCATTGTATAAGACTTAGATGGATCTGGTTGACATGTTTCCATTTTCTTAGACATTCAAAATCAGCATATATCACAAATGGAATTTCAATGATTTTTTAAAGTTTTCAAAGAAAATATTTTCTTCACTCATTTCAATCATTCCCATTTTTTTTTTTTTACTATCGGTTTCATGATTCATTAATTGTTCTGCTGAATTGTAGTATGTTAGACATCTTTCACATATATAAATCTTTGTTGTATGTTTTATTATTTGTGATCTGACTAATCTAGATAGATCTTTTATCAAACAGTAATGTAATTTGTCTTCATTTTTTATATATTATAGATTTACATGCTTATTTTTTGTTATTCTTAGAGGATATATTTCATACTGCTTTTCTCTTTAATTTTTAGATTCTTTTTCTGTTTCTTTTTCAGGTTTTAGAGACTGTTCATTAAAAGAATAAACATTCACTGATATATTCAATCTTTTTTCACATTTACCTATATCTTGTAAAGAAATAGGTGATTCGATTCCTTTCAGTGCTTCCTTAATTAACTTAATATTATAATTACTAACTCGACCAGGATTATGATTGTTACTACCTACTGGATTTAAATATGCAGCGATGCCATAAGCAAAACATTCTTGATCTTCATTGAATATTCAATACAGCTTTTTTCTCTTTGATTTGTTTTGGTAATTCAATGTAGGATGATTCTGTAAATGAAACATATTTATTGATTCTTAGCTCTAAATTATCTATTTCTATTAAAGACTATTCAGAGCCTTTGCTTCAAATTCATTTATCTCTCTTATTCGTTTATCAATCACTGTATCATAAAAATCATTCAAATCTTTTGTTTTTAAAATAATCTCATTTTCAGTTTTAGATGAAAAGCCCATATTCTCATTTTCTCTTTGATACTCACAGAAAAATTTGAAATTTTCTTTTAAGTCCATTTCTTTCAGTATCTCTGCTATCTTTCCAATAACCATGTCTCTCACATCTTCTAAAAATTCTCTTGGTGTGATATAACCTTTTACATTTTTTTTATCGAATACGTTATTAATCTTGATTTGAATGCTGTCTTAAGCCCTTGGATAGCTTCACTATTATATAAGGCATTCTTATGTTCTCTCTTTCAAGATGGAAATTCTTATTGGTTGGTTTATAGTAATGATTACAGATATGCTTTTCTGTTTCTTTTCTTGGTTTTGTTATAATATCTTCATGAAAGTTAAATATTTCATTTAATTTTTGTCTTTCTCTTGGTTTTGTTATAATATCTTTATGAAAGTTAAATGTATTATTAATTTATTTTTTTCTCTTGGTTGTCTTGGTTTTCTTATTACATCCTCATGAAAGTTAAATATATTACTAAATTTATATCTCTCTATAAAATCAATTAAGGCTGCTTTCCTTAATCTTGAATAACTTCTAAGATTATTTTCTCTACAAAATTGACGCAGTTGTCAAATAGTTTCTCTTTGTCCTCTCCTTCTATAATTTATAATAAAATTAATTAGGGCTGCTTTCCTTAATCTTGAATATCCTGTAATATTATTATCTCTAGAAAATTGATGCAATTCACGAAGAGTTCGTGATTGTAATATTTGCTCCATTTAATAGGAAGAAAAAACAATCAATATTTTTTCAACAATAAACACGCCTTACAAATATAAGCATATCCATCAGTCTTCCTTTTATTTTTGTGAAATTCATCTGAAGNCCTGGTGTCACAAGGTCAATTACCCTGGCAAAGGGGTGATGACGGGAGAAATAAGGGAAATAATGATGAAAGAAAAATTGTATACGACTTTTATTACTGAAAATTCTTATAAGAGCGTCGGATTTCTCACAAACTGCAAAGGAAGGTGCAAAGTTTGAAGAAAAATTGTCTTAATTATAAACTTTACTCAGAATCGAAACGAAAAACGGCAATACGTTGGCTCACCGATTTCGATAAACTTTTTAAGTTTAAACTGCATTCCCAAAGACTGACATGTACCAAACAGAAAGGCGCAGTACACAAAATTAAACGAGAAAATTATAGGTGCAAATTGCACAATGTCTTAAAATTTTCATAATTCTTTCTATTTGATGAATGTTTGATGGTTTAGCGCAGATATAACAATTTCTTAACTTTAATGATGGTGACTTAAATACTGTTAATACGGTGAGGAGCCGGAATTAATGCATGCGCCTGAACCCGTTTGCTGGCGACGGTTTGACGAAAACAGCTCACAACGTCTGTGGATGGCGTTTTTCTTTCGGGGCGCGTTTTCCGGGTAACAAGATCGGCTTCTCAGGTCGTGTGGGAAAGTAAGCGGGATCGTCGATAAAGTATGGGCGATTCCCGAATAACAGACACTATTAAAAAACTTAATATGGATAAAATTGTAATGAAGAACTAAAATCTAAACAAAAGGTTACAGGAGTACAGGTATAATATTGAGTAATGACTCGCGTATGAAGGATAATAAGCTTATTCTATCTATCAATATATACATATACCGTACAGCATCTCTATATAATTTTGCGAAGACATATTTCAGAGTAAAAAGACATGTAAAATTTTTAAATAAATTCTTAATTTTTTCAAACCTTATCGACTCTTTATAAAACTTTTATTGATTTTTAGTGGTTAACACCGACCTTGTTGAAAAGTTTTTATTTTCAGTTATGTGGCTTTCGTGTACAATATTATTCACAATTTTTTACTTGCTGCATCAGTTGTTGACCAACAGTTTTGCTTATATAACATTGTTTGAAGAATTACATTATCTCTAGCAATATATGGAATAAATATAACTCTGTTTGATCGGCAACACATCTCGTGAACGATGGACATATGCCTACAGCAATGAGTTTATACGAGCTCATTTTCATATGTTAGAAACATAAACTAAACATGAAATATTCCACGTGGCCAGCGTAACTAGAGTATACCATGTCATGACACATTAACTAGCGATCCACCAGCGTTGTGTTGTTATCCTCTTGGACATTAGTCGGCCTCGAGCAATATGTTCTAATTATGATAGTTATAACCTTATAAATTTAAATGAGCTCAATTATGTGTTCAGAAACAACTACCTATAAACTGGAATCTTATTAATATAATGGGTTTTGATGAAGATTGTTTAATTAATTTACTCAGTATACAATTTTCTATTGCAGATTAACAGTGCCAGTATTTTGTCTTGTAGCAGCAACGATTATTTTACCACTTCTAGGAGATGGCCCTCATTGGAATGACCTGCTAAACGATGTTGATGAAATTGTAGAGAATTGGCCTAAATATGCTTTTCATTACACTAATTTCATAGAACACACTACTGGAAGTTCCATTGTAAAAATAATATATATCTTATATAGTATTTTAAAATATACAGTAGAGCGTCGTTTATCCGAATCAATTGGGGACTGTTCGGATAACTTATTTTTCGGTTAACCGATTATGTACGAAAAAATATATTAACCTATCCCGTGTTGAAATTTTTCTCCGTTGCGTGTCGCTTCGCGCTAAATTTTCGTCGATGTTAAGCCTAACGTACACTTTTTAAAATAATAATCGTGGTAAATAATAATAATGTATCGTTAAAAATTATTTATTTATTTTGTACAAACAAAATAAATATATTGAAATATATAAAAACAAAAAAAGTTAGGCTATACTTTAGAAGTTCATCTAGTATCAAAAATGTTCGATTCAGCAACACACACAATCTCAGAAAAACAGTACACAAAAGTGCCAGTGCTGCCAGCTAAAATACACCCAACAAAAAAGTACTGTATTGGAGTAGTCCAAGATATAGACAAAGATTGCAGCGCCACAGCACAAGCGAAAACTTAAATATGCCGACTGGAATTCTTTCGGTTAACTGACGTTTCGGATAACCGGCTTTCGGATAAACGACGCTCTACTGTATAATATATTAATTAAATGTTATTAACATTTACAGATACTTAATCATTTATGGTTTATAAGCGCTTTGATTCAGCAAATTCTTGTGGCTATACCTTTACTCTATATAAACAACAGGTAAGTTTTCTGTTTTTTTATTTTTAATCATTATTCTGAAAACCATTTGAAAACTATTGGGCCTTTTAATAATGTTCATTTTGTGTTTGGCCTTTGGTTTCAAAATATCAATACAATATAGTAGTATAAAAATAAGAGTTCTTCCCCAAAATTTACAAAGATGAAAATTTGGATAAATCTTTTAAAATTCAGTGAAAAAAGTTAAGAAATTTTAAACTCTAAAAACTGGCGTTTACTCATTTTGTCCTAAAAATAAATACAGTTAAATCCCCGACATGTTTAAAAGTAAATATAAAAAAACTAATTATGAGCTTTATTTAGCCCTCTCATGCCTCTGTACACAAATTTAAAATCTATTCGATTGTTT